ATATGATACGGAGTGCTCGGAAGTCTTCGGTCATGCCCGGTCAAGTTGGAGGACCTCGGAACAGCTGATCGAGAATAGCCGGGCACCTCGGAGAAAAGATTGTCGGACATTTGAAAACTCTTACGTGAGTGGATAGGAAATGGATTGCTCTATATAAACCCCCTCTTGCCCATCCATAGAAGAAGTAGGTGAGCACAAGATACAATCTATCTTATCAAATTTATTCTTTCCTCAAACTTTTATCCTCCTCCTCACCCACACGCAGAGTCTCATAACAACAGTCTCTTCCCCTGTGGCAATGCCACAGATCAGCACCTAGCTTACTTCAGACCACGCATAAGTCTGATTGCTCTTCATCTGGAAACAGGAAACTGTGGCCGCGACACACGACTCTTCGTCCGGAGAGTGTACCACTATGAGAGGGCTGTAACGTTACTACAGCATTGCTTCCGCGCTTCGATGGTCGCAGGATTACGTATCGCTGCCACATCCACTCCCGCCGGCTGCTCGGGAGACGGCCGTTGGGTTGCGTCTCTGGATCTCCGGCGATGTCAAGAATTAGCCTTGGTCGGACTCGCAGAGTTTGGTTCAGCATTATGCATTTCTATTTGAATTCTTGGTGATGCAAATCCTTTCCATTTCCTACCACTCATTCACAACTTTCTCTCCCACACCCCTTACCTAAAATTAGTATGTTTCAAGAATAGAACAAATGCTGCTGCAACTTCGCAGTGAAACTAAAGCACAATTACCTGCCCAAAACTGCAGGTCGCAAGGACAAAGTGTTGTACCCCTCTCCACACAATTCTCCCATCGCTGGAAGCAAACTTGCCCCCGCCATCCTAACATTCCAAATCCCTTATTATCATCCTTGACTTCCTCCCACCCTTGCCCCCAACCATTATGATCCGCAGGCACCAAACAAAAAAACAAAGATTTGATGAAATAAGATTTCTCTCCTTTGTTCTCGGCATGAATCTTCCACCTCACTCCCCTACAATGCGCCACCAGGGCCGTATTTCTGCCGAGGTCATCTATCGTAGTAGTAGATATTCCCAAGGAGATAGCTAAGGCGTTTGGAAAATACAAACGTGCCATTAGCGGCCTGGAACTACGAGTATTCTTGAGATGTTATTTAGATCCGGGAAACAGGTCATTGCTGCTCAGACGACGTATGGTACCAGGGAAAACAGACCAAAACCAGAGAGATCCGATCCCAGACGAAGCTAGGGCGCTCCAAAATCCCCAACCCCAATTATGATTAGAATGGGGCAGTGAGCAGCCAGGAACACTGTGATTTAATCCATGGCTCTTTAACCCCAATTAATTCCGAATTGGCACCTGGACAAGCAGGAGTACGAGTGCGGGTGATAGATATATTCGTCACGTATAATAGGTCTGATAAGAATATTTCGGTGCACTTTTTGGCTGCGATCTGTCCTTAGATAAGGCACGTGACGAATATATTTATCAGCAGCACTCGTAGCTGAAGGTGCGTCAAAAACGCTGTCTCAAGCCTCGAAATTCACTTTGAAGGTTCCAATTTTCACAGGTCATCCAAAAATGAAAGATTATATCTGATTCCCCTCAGATTTGAGCACTGCAAAGTTCATACCATCGCCTGATACCGTGGGTTGATATATGATAACTGGGGCGGATATGGCATTATCGCGCGGTGACAAGTGGGCCTACCTTTTGTGTAAAAATGGCAAGTGACAACCTGTTCCAGGGCTCCGTGCAGTACAAACCACATCGCCCTCGCAACCTACATCCCCACGTATCCACACTCTCATTGAATGTCCCGAAGAACATCAACTCGGGGCCCTTGGGTCGCTCACCTAGTCTCTAGAGGTTGTCGCGAGCTCAAATCGTGCCACTGGGGAGATCCCATGGCTGGGGTGAGATCGGCAACTGTCTTGGTGGAAGTGTTGTAAGCATACCTATATGTCCCGGAAAAGATGACATCGTGAGATGCCCCCTCACCAGGTTCTCTGGGGGGCGTGGCCATAGTACTGCCGACACACCGCTACACTCACAGGAAATACGTGCGGGGAAGGCTGGGGCTCGACATGTTAGGGATAAAAAATTCTATTTAAAAAATCGAGTAATATACTATTAATATAATACTAGCATTTGGGCTCTGGTAACGGTTTTTCATATTTTTCTAACAAGTATTATTGAGAGTGGCAGTGGTGTTGTGATATCCTGGTAACTTCTCAGGAAGACCCTTCATCATGTGATTTTGTAACAGATAGGTTTTCCTATTTTTCAGAAACCTTCATTTTGGGCTCATCATTGCAACTCAGTGTCAACCAGACATGCTACTCCGGAGCAAATTAGAGTTTTGCTGCAAACCTCTACGGTACTCATAATCACCGCCAAAATAAGGGCTTGGCGTGGCAACCAGACGCACTACACTGTGTGACGTTTCCGTGTGTTTGTTTCCCTGAAAGGTGGCCCCCATCCGGGTTGCTAAGCCGCCGTCCTGATTGATATAAGAGGCATCCGAAATTCCGCCCTCCCTTTCATTTACTCCCCACTCACCATCCTCAGTTGACCCCGCCCTTCTCTACCTTTAGGGTGTGTTTGGCTTGCCAGGATTAGGACTTAAAACCTGGATTATGACACTAGTCCGGACTTTAAGTCCAGTTGTGTTTGGCTCGCCAGGCTTAGACTTGGATTTGCACCTCAGTATTAGATCAGGATTCAAAATCTGGACTTTCAAGAACTGTGTTATGTAAATTTTACCCTTAAGCAACCACATCTGATATAGTGTATGTTTTCCACTTCAGTAAATAGTTCATACCATGACATGATAGTTTTTCTATTTTTATAATCAGATTCTATATACACCAAAACTATAAGCTTTTCTGAAGACCTGTTTTACCTTCCAGCTATTTTTATTTGCTCCCTCAAGTACCAAGGGTGCTGATGATGGTAGCAATCTTCTGCCACTGACTTCTACTATTATAACTTGTTTTAAACTTTCTTGAATTGATAAAGGGATATTATAATATAATTGGAGAAAAAAAATAGAAATAGGTAAAGGTAAAAGTAAAATGTTAGATATTGTTCATTAAACA